ATCAGCTTCCCCCCCCCGGGTGTTGATATATTGTCCTCTTCCTTTTTATGTCTTTTCTTCTTTTCCCCCTCTCCCTCAATAGCATAAACAAGAATCCTGTCCAAGACAAAATATCCATCCCATCCCCCCAGCCTCTTCTCGCCTCTCTGGTCAGGATTTCTGGTCTCGAACCCCGCACTGTTGAAACGGCCTTCCCCCTCCTCAAAGGTAAATCCTCCTCAAGGTCACACACACACCCTCTCACCACTCCCTCTCACACGCATGCAGCTCACACTCGCCCACCCGAACAACGACAGACTCCCGATATAGCTGGAGAAAAGAGAGACAGACAGACAAGACACATCGACACATCCTCCTCGCCGCTCGCCTTATCACGTCCTCCTATCACCCCAACAGAGAACGGGCAAACTTACTCAAAACAAGAACCACACAATCCCACACCGCCTCTTCGCCCGCGTCCCTCTTAAAACTCCCGCTCACTTCCTCGCACCCCCCCAGTTATTCCACCTCGCTCCTCTTCATCGGAGAAATTATCCTTCACACGAATCACATCGTTCACGACATTCACGACCCTGTACTATTTTGCTTCTTTTTCTCCGGACTTGACGGCTGTCGTCCCACTTTCGATCTGCCCCGATTCTTTGTACCTTTTTGCCTTTTTTTTTTCTTTTCCTTTTTTTTTTTTTTTTTTTTTCCCTTTTATCCATCGATCTTGACTTTCGGAGGTTAAATTTTATCCAAAACACCTCCATTTTTTTTATTTTTATTTTTATTATTTTATTATTTTTATCTTCTCTTCACACCCTCACAATGGCGAAGTATTCACATCCTTCGTCGTTCGACTTTTTCCAACAATCGCCCGCCCTCGACTCCAAACCCATCTTCTCCCCGGACGACGAGATGAGCGTACTAGACGACAAGATCCTCGACTCAAACACACAAGACATCACATCCCTCAACGGCCAACGAAGGTCGTCCTTTGACCACACCACAGACGACTTCTCGCGGAGAGACTCTGTCTGGTCGGATATGGCACAACACCACAGCGGAGCCCAGTCGCGGCAACCGTCCCAGATGTCCACTCCTCTCTTTGAACCCATCGCCAACCCGTTCGTCCACACAACCACATACCCTCCACAACAATGGACGCTGGCCACGGATTCCGGCTCCTGTACCCCGACTCCCATGTACGAACAGTTCCCACACGACTTCGATGCTGCGGCTCAAAACCCGTTCGCTGGCGGTGCTGTCGGTGCCGTGCAGCCAGTTGCCTACCCAACCATGCCATACCGACCCGGCTCTACCTTCGCTCCTCACAATGCCATTCCAATGTCCCCGCAATCTAGCCAAGGCTGGGCCTCAGCATCTGCCGATCCCGCCGAGATGCAGACGAAGGCTGCACGGAAAAACTCCACAACTGCCACCGGCTATCGAAATAGCTCCAACCTCCATATCCGCCGGGATGGAATCCGGAAGAAGAATGCTCGCTTCGACATCCCTGCCGAACGTACTCTGAGCAACATTGACCTCCTCATCAGCCGTTCCACCGATGAGGAGGAGATCAAAGAGCTCAAGCAACAGAAACGTCTGTTGAGAAACCGACAGGCTGCGTATGGATCCCTTCCCCTTTTTCACTTACCCACCACACCAAACCCCCCCCCCAAAAAAAAAAAAAAAAAAAAAAAAAAGAAAAAAAAAAGGATATCCTCTTACAATGATACACGGAAATCTGTTGACTGAACCGTTCTGGCTGACTCTTCCGCTCCTAGGCTTGACTCCCGTCAACGTAAGAAGGTGCACACCGAACAGCTTGAGGAAGACAAGCGACGGTCCACCACTCTCATCAACGAGCTCCAGGAGGCTATCCGTGAGATGAAACTCCGGGAGACTGAGCTTGTACGGGAGAAGAACGAATTGCTCGAGGGTCAGCAGCAGCTCCATCAGTATATCGACCAACTCCACACTGAAAAGGAGGAGTTGATTCGATCTCATACTCTGGAGACCGGTGAACTTCGAAAGAAGAACACCATTCTTCGCGAACATATGGAGAAACTAGAGCATTCGTCTGCGTCCGGGTCCCTCTTCCGCAGCGATTTCTCCGATTATGAGAGTCTTGCCGTTGATGGAAGCTCCTGGGATGACTTCTCTATGACCAACGAGTTTACTCTGGATAGCGAGCCTCGGGTACCCATTCGGACCCCGACGCCCGCTCCCGAGAAGTCGCTTACAACGGTCATCAAGAAAACTGACAAGGTTGTCGAGAAGCTTTCGTCGCAAACAGACTTCCCGTTCAGCTGGAATGCATTTTACATGTGTCTACTCTTCGGTGCTTTTATGGCTTCAAACGGCCCGTCGATGTCTCCTAGCTCCATTCCTCCTCTTTCGGAAGAGTATCGTGCCGAATCTGCCAATGTTCTAAAAGCAGTCCTTGCTTCTGCAAATCCTCCCCAGGCCTCCAATTCGCTCAACCTAGCCTCCATTGCTGGGCCATCGTCTACTACCCCGTTCCCTGCAACAATCTCCGGCGCAGAAATGGCACAGATCTCTTCGGGTCAGGACACCACTATGACCAACCTGGATGACCTGCACCGAAACCTTGTCGCTCCCACAAAGCAGCAAGAAGAGGAGCAGGCGTTCGCTCTGACCGCAGAGCAGTACAACGCCTTGACGACCCTGGACGATGACGAAGGCGATATTACTCCGCAACCTTCCAACCTGCAGCAAGCCTACGCTGCGATGCGAAGCCAAAATACCGGCATCAAAGGCACCTCTGAGGTCTATTCCCGCTCTCTCCTTTGGGACCGTGTTCCAGAAAAAGTTATCCGTGATTTCAGACGGATGGTCAAGGACTGCGGAATACCCGGCAAACACGAAGAACCTGGCGGCGCGATGTGCACCTCTTGACGCCAAGCCTTTTAATGCAACTTAATAAAAACAAACTCCCCTCTCAGAGTTTGGTATACCTACCTAAACTAATTGGCTCGACGCTTGACACGAATTTCCTTTTTTGTGACCCCCATTCCCTCCATCAAACTCTATCGTTCCTTATATCTCTTTTTTTTTTTTCTTTTTTTCTTTTTTTTTTTTTTTCCCTTTCGCGCTTTTTTCGGCTCGGAGCATTTTCACATGGCGGGCCGGAGTTGGGGACGGAAACACCCATCATGCATTCCCTCAAGAATCAGGACCTAGAGAGCGCCGCGAGGCGCATGTTTAGCTCGCCGCTAATACGATAGCGAAAGACTTGGCTTTGACAGCCCATTGAAGAAATCCGTTCGCACGGCACAAAAAACACATCCAACTATATACGCTGCACCTTAACTTTCCTTGTGTCTACATCATACTTCTCTGGGATTTATGTAGGTATATTGCAAACACCCTCCACGGACCGTCACCATCCTCTTCTTTTCCTTTGTCTTTTGGTCCCTGTTCGGCTTTTTTTTTTTTTTTTTTTTTTTTTTTGGCTCCTTCGTTTTGTGTTTCATCTGATGTTCCTATATGATGGTACTGGACTCTTGGGTGAAGTTTAGCATGTTGGGAGGCTTAGTTGTTATATGTTTATTATCTCGCCTTTGCTTCTGTGTTTAGCCTATGGGTATAGCGGGTTTCTTCTTTTCCTTTTTGACCTTGGCTTTTACTGTTTTGCGGTTTGGCCTTTATGAATTTTTGAACTGGGTTGATGACCTGATATGACACATGATATGATGATCCGCGATACGACAGGTTTGCATTATACTATTTTTAAAAATATTTTTTTTCTCTTTTCTTTTTGTCCTCCTTCTCTGCAGTTTGTTTTGGAGAAAAAGCATGTGGCGCTACAACCTTGGTTGGAAAGGTTTGTTGTGTGTTTCATGAGGTTGTGGTGGGCCTTTTTACAGTGTATCTATTGAATGTTGGCTGAATGTACCATGGCTTGTTCCTCTCCAGGCCGCTCCTAATTTTTTTTTTTTTTTCCTGCTTCTGCTTCTGCTTCTGCTTCTGCCTCCGCCTCCGCCTCCGCCTCCGCTTTTGCTTCAAGGAGAGCGGAGGAGGCTTGAGGAGGAGGAGCGGTGTTTTGGATATTTTCTTCTGGGTAATTAACTACTCACTCTTGGGGAGGGGTGGCAATGCATTGGCGAGCTGTGGTGTTTTCATTATTGGTGCTCATCTTTCTCTTCTCTTCTCTTTCTTTCTAATGTCCCTTATGCTTAACCCAAGATGAGACGGCCGCATTCCTTTTGGTATAAATTTCTCTTTCCGGTCACATATTTACTTTTTTTTTATTTTTTTTTTCAAACTTTTTGAAAGTCTCGGGCATTTAGCGAACAGGCGAAAATAGTAATTTGGTGTCTCTAAAACTTCTTATTTGCAAATACTACCTTATTTGTTGAAGCTAGAGCTCGGAAGATAGGAGCTAGAACGTAGTATGTTGCTCGATCAAATGCTTTCCGTATGACTTGGAGTGGTACGATATGGGAACTGAGCTGCTCTGATCTCCAGAGATGCGCCTCGAAGACGAGTCGAGCACCCCACCTCCTTGGCGCGACAGCGTTTGGCTCGCGAAATCCGCCGGAAGTCTATCGATGAGTTTCTGATACTCCGTAGAGGAGGAATTAACTAGTGAGTTATGCTTGTTAATCACCAAGCTCGGGTTCGAGAGATTCGCCCAAATCAATGTGGGTCGCAATGGGTGAGGTTGGATTATCTCGAAGTTTATCAATACTTTTCTGCCCCCGTTCACACTTTTCGCCGACGGACCGTCGCCATAACTTTCTGCTTGATGTGATTTCACCCCTAAGGTTGACGACACAGCCCGGCTTTTTTCCTTTTATTTCCTCTTTCTTTCTTTCTTTTTTTTTTTTTTTTTTTTTTTTTTTTTTTGGTTTTTCCCGACGGGAACGATGACGACCTCTAGGCCGAAACCTCGAGGACATCCCGACATACGCTCTCTCATACCGAGTGTCTCAGATTGAACGGCTATCAAAATATACAATCAACAATTAACCTTTCTTGACAAATCCCAAATGCCCGAATCTGCAACGATATCCCATTTCTCTCTCCCGCTGCCCCAGTGGCAAAGACCAGTGAGCTATCGCACAGCCAAATACGATCCTCCGCAGCGCGCCAAACGCCCCCTTGTCGAAGACACCGACGCCTCGAGCATCGAAACCGGTTCCGATAGCAGCGACTATGAAGACATCGGAGCAGCCTCCTCGGGGCGCCAATCGCGGGCAACAAGCACCGTGAAAAGCGACCGCGCCTCCTCCTCCTCCTCCTCCTTCTCCCGCCGGCCCTGCCGCCGCTCGACATCCGCACGCTCCTCCGTCATCCTCACACCGGACGAAGCGCATCAATACCGCATCGCCGGCCAGCCGCCGGACATGGAGTTGCCGGGAGGGAATTTCCCGCACTCCGGCCTCTCTTCGGCCTCAGGCGTGAAGCCGGCTACCAGGAGGCGTATCGAGTCGGATCTGGCGCAGCTGAATCCGCCGGTGTTTCTGCCGGGGTCGGCGCGGAACAGCCTGCGTCTGAAGCATCTGGGCGTGATCACGACGATCTTGCATCGGTGTCTGCTTGAAGGGGACTATGTGCGGGCGGGGAGGGCTTGGGGGCTGATTCTGCGGGATGAGTGGGGTGGGCATGCGGTTGATGTGAGGACGGAAGGAAGATGGGGGATCGGAGCGGAGATTCTGCTGTGGAGAGATGGGCAGATGGCGGCTGCGGGGGCGGAGGGAGGTGGTGGGAAGGGTGGTTATAAGACGGAGTGGTTTTCGAGACGGGGGTTTGAGAGGGCCAAGCAGTACTACGAGAGGTTGATATTGCATTATCCGTATCGGAAACATGCGCCCAATGCTCTGGGGCCGTTGGATTTCTACCCGGCTATGTTTGGACTTTGGATATCGGTCGTTCAGGAGGAGAGTCGAGCTACGAGGGAGGCTGCTACATATGATGTGGTGAGGGAGGAGAGGGACTACGACTTTGGCTACGACGTGGAAGATAACATGTCTATGACCAGCGATCTGGGGCGGGAAGATCGACAAAGGGCCGAAACTGTCGCTCGAGCTCGCTCGAAGGAACTCGAGGAGGCGCAACAGATCGCGTGTCAGCTCGATGATCTGCTCGTCTCTCCTCCGTTCTCGGATAGTTATGAGTTATTGAGATTACGAGGGATGGTGTCATTGTGGATCGGGGATCTATGCGTCTCATCAGTGTCTCCCGATGAAGCAGCTGAGCAGGGCGTGCAGATGGGCGGTGATAAGGACGGAGATATCACCATGATGTCGTATGACGATAAGGTAGACTCTATCTTGGCGAGAATGGAGGAAGGGCTGGGGATGGAGAGGAGGCAGGCGGAGGTGGATAAAGCAAAGGAGTTCTTTGAGAGGGCGCGCGCGAGGAAGGTTGGGCCGCTAAGTGCAGCGGATAAAGTGTACATGGATAGTATTGACTCATACTAATAGCGATCATAAAAAAAAAAAAAAAAAAAGACAAAGGGGTAAAATCAGAGCTCTTCTCGTCTGGTGTTGGTGATGTACTTTAAACAGAACTTTGCTGCTCAGAGCGAGCTGTCATGTGACTTCGTGTTTTGGTGCGTGTTTTTTGGCGGCTGCTGCGACAGGAGGCGTTGAACGACAAACGTCACTCACCAGCTGTCTCGCTGGCTTTTCTGTAATGCAGGTGTTTTAAAGTCATGAGTTAATAAGCTGAAAGTCTGACTTTGCTGTTGTTGCTGGCTTCTCTATCTCCTCTGGGTCTATTACTTTTCTTCTTCCATCCAATATTATTCTGTTGGGCTCCGGGGAGCTCCTAGGAAGGTTACTCTTCCATTCACCATGCTGAAAGTTAGCGATTATGTCCATGGAACCATACCCCAGAACAATGACCGGCCAGTCTCCCAGGGCACCAGCAAAAGCAGCATTCCCTCCTCAAGGCTGCGTGCGGCGGAATTGGCTCGGGTCAATGTACCTCCTACTAGATTAGCTGGGTTCAATGCCACCCCGGCAGTGAACATGCATGGCAGACAACAGTCCCAAAACTTGCAAATGACGAGTGATCAAAGGATTGGGCCCTTTGGCGCACTTAACCCGGAGCATCGCGATATGTTCGATACAGACGTTGAAGGATTTGACGACAGCACCACCACGATGAGTCTCGTTCGAGACGACGATGTCGTTGTGCCGCCACCACCCCAGGAGGAGCGTCTGGCCTCTCCCAGGAGAGGCAGAGATAATGGAACCACACACCATCAGGGCGATATGTCATTGGACCCATTGAATGGCGCATTTGAACAGCGGAATTGTATTTCAATTGCCGAGAGAATGAAGGAGCTCGATTCTGAACCTGATGATCTTCGTACTAGTCATCAGCATGAGCATTATCATCAGAATTTCGAGGCTCATGTTGATGAGCAAGATGGCGATCACGATATGGAGCTCGAGGGAGAGCCCACTATCAAGGTTGGATGGGATGCCAACCATGGGAACAGCCAGCACGCTATGAGTTGGCAACAGATTGAGGCAGCACTTCGGGAGCATAACCCTCAAACCGCGAGCAACGAGTCAAGCTCCGTGCAACGTCCAGAATACATGCCGCCACACCAGGTTCAAAGTGAACTACAGAGCCCTGCCGGAAATGAATCAGACCAGAGTAACTACGCCAATACCACCCACGCTACTCCTCGACCGATACGGAAACTAATTCCTGGAGGCCGCTTTACTCCCAAATCCCGTTTCGCGACCCCCAAGCCTCCAAAACCGCCAACACCGTTTTCAATCTCACGAATTCCACGCCCAATTTCTGCTCCAGGGATCCCTTTTCCTTCCGACAACGCTCTCTCCCCGCTTAATCCTGAGTATCGCAGGGATCAGCTTCCACTCAGTCCTTCCCAAACAGACACCAACAACGGTCAGTATCATAACAACCAAGGGGGCATATTCGACACGACCGATCTAAGTGCCCTAGACAGCTCCGAAGAAAGCATTACAGAGCCAAACATGCCGCCTTCGGCCACTTCTCCACAGCTCTCCACGCTCTCTCCTGTATCTTCAAAACGCCCATTCACAGCCTTCACGTCCGACTATCACCCGAACATCCTTCATACCAAATCCTACTCCGACCTCCAAGCCGAGCCGTTCGATTATAATCCCGCCCCACCACCACCTGTCTTCCCACCACAAGACCCGGAGCTCCCACTCATAGAAAAGCTACACCGCTTGAAATCACTTACCGACGACCAGAGACGTAACTTTTTCTCATCTCTGACGCAGGCAGAATGGGAAGATAGTGGGGACTGGTTGATCGAGCAATTCGGCGTTATCTTGCAGAAAACAAAGGACGCGAGACGGGAAAGAAGACAGGTTGCTGCGGTGTTCGAGGCAGAGATCAAGCGGCGCTACGAACTTGTGGAAGGAGAAGTGAAAGATATCCGAGATCGAATGGATGACATGAGAGCCGGAGGCATGGGGGTTTTGAAAGGTCGAGGGTGATAGGAGGTCGAAATTTATCCGCATAATACTCGAGTTTGGTTTGGTAAAACAATACATGTTAACGGGTGAAATTATCTCTAGCATTTTACGGCGTATATCATCTGGGATTTATGATATGGGCACGCAACGGAGCAGACACGACTGATGACTTCAAGGCAAGGTTTTAACCATGGTGTTCTTAATGTGTCTTTTAATTTATTGTATGTACAAGCAGACGGGGAAACCAAGCAGTATATTTACGAAAGTGAATACAATATAATGTTCAGGATTCTAGACACTCCTGGGGGTGTCTACGATCTATCCTACTCAAATTCCTTCTCGTTTATAAACCCCTTCTTGGGTAGAAGAACGAGGGAAAGCATTATCCATTTGAACCGTAAAGGTGCTATGGCTCAAATTAGCCCGCATCCCCTACGCCATCGACCATTTCCGACCATCATCCTACTCCGTTCCACTTCCCAACAACCTGTGATTCTTCGCTCGGCGCCTCCCGACCATGCTGCTCCAAGGATTGCCCAGGACATTCTGGACTGGGTCCTTGACCCCAGGCAATCTTTTCCAGCGAAGTTTCTCGGAGCCAATTGGTGCAGTGTGATCTTGAGAAAATCCCTATGGGACCGAAGACAGCTAGACCAGCAGTTCCTTTCCAGCCCTCGACTCCACAAGGTGGAGTGATTCGCCAGATCCATGTTACGGCACCTTTTAACACAGCGGAGCTTGATCAGGACTTTGTCCCCATGTTCGTGGGTGAAGAAGCCCACATATCTCGTCGGAGACGGTGGATGTCCCTTCGTGTATACTGTGCAAATCGTTAGGATTAGTCACATTTTCTTTTATTTTTGTCCTTGGCGACAAATACCTAGATACATAATCTGTGTCCCACCCGATACAATAAGACGGAGTTACAGGGCGCCTGGTAGGATAAAGAGTTATGTCAAGGACTTCTGCATTCGAGTCGCCAAAGGGTTACTAAGAAGTAAATTCGCAATAGCGGCGCTCACTCCAAGTGCCTTGACTTTCCATTCATCGCCTCATCAACACCCCAGCGTAGAGGTTCACGTCTGTAGAAATCAGGGTGATCATTTGCGCGCAGGATTGATGGCTGGCAGAACTTCCAAATAATTTTTTCTTGGGTATTCATGAGATTGCAGTTGCCCTCCGAATATAGAGCAAGCACATATCGTTGACACAGCAAGCATTGGCAAGGGAATGTCTGGTTAAGGACGCTATCATCCTTTCCCACCGGCCAAGACGCTGCGAGAAAGGCGAGGGGTGGCAGCTAGCAGTGACGCTCTCCACCCTTTCTAAACCGCACTGCCGGGATTGTGGCACTATTCTCGAATCCTCGCAGCATGAAGTGGGTATGAACAGCTAGTTAGATTCGTATTTATACCAGCAATGAATATACACTGACAATTGTGACACCGACAGATAGACACGAGAAAGTGGATTGGATGAGAAACGAACCCAATCCGTTCATGAAATAATCACTCCTCTCTCGCTCAACCTAACCGGGGGAGGAAATAAAAAAGGGAAAAAGAGAAAAAAAAAAAAAAAAAGAAAAAGCAACACACCAGGCTGAAGGACAAAGATAGGAAATAAGAACAGGCTGGAAAGCAATTTTGCATGGGGAGTACAAACATGAGGGTGAAGGGTGGAGGGATTGAGGGGAGGCAAGGAGGCCAAACACGCCCAGGAGAAAATTCAATGCAAAGCGATTAACAAAAAAGGGAAAATGCAGAAAATGAAATAAAAAGCAGCCCATGCAAGAATACCAAATGCCCACGTAACCCTGTATACAGTTTATGGTCCCGTACCCCCAAACTGCGCCGGCTTTGCGTGCTTCTGCAATCAAGGACAAGAAAAACTAAAACGCACCAAATTCTGAACCCAACAAGAGACTTTACGCTTAAGGACGAGGTTAAAGCGAGCGAATTCGCACGTCCCGAATGACTAATTCTTAAAACACAGAATCGCTTTCAAAACCACCAGGATAAAAAAGTGAGGTTCTCAAATTGTCATTAAGATGAGAGTGGCAAACCCAAGAGGACGGAAAAGCTTTTGCAACCGTCAAGAAGAATGTGAAATATTTGTAATTTCGCGGAGATTCCGTAATAGGATGGGATAGTTATGCACCGGATATAGAGCAAGAAGCGATTAGAAATGGTACTGGAACGGATGTGTTGAGTGATATTAGCAGACATGTTAGTCAGTTGGAACTGACTGATGGGTAGACCGTCGACATTTATGTTGAGTTGCTTTCAGGTTCAGCGGTGTTTCCATTGTTGTCGGAGTTTGAGACACCCTCGCCCCTACATAAGGGGCAGGAGTTTCGCCCGGTAGTCAACCACTGGTGCATTGGTTAGTTGTGGACAAAAAAGGATATGCAGATAATCTCGTACCTCGTCAATACATTCGCGATGATAGATGTGTCTGCATTTTGCTAATAACCGGACTTCCTCCTCAGCAGCATAGTTACTGAGACAGATGAGACACCTATCGTTTTCACTAATATGAATGCGTTCTCCGTCTTCCGCGTTTTCAGCAACCAATGACTCGGGATACTGAACTAATCGATAAAGGCCTCCGGCGAGAGCAACATCTTCTTCTGAAGCCACAGGTGGTTTAACGGGGCCGAGAAGAGAAGATAAGAGCATCATATCCTCGTACGTAGGATTCTACAAAGTCAGTTAGCTATTTGATCAGCACCAATTCTAGGGTTGACGCGCTTACATCAGTAAACAAGCTGGGAGCAGCGAGGGCTGGATGATTCTCAGCAAGGTTAGCACCAACGACATAAATCAACCAGCTTCTTGTAGTACTTGGCGAAGGGTCATCCGGTTCAACCACTCCATTTCGACGTGCCGCACCAGAGCCAAGTCCGCGATGGCGAGCAGCTTCGGAATCGCTCCGTCGGCGCTGGCGAGGGAAATTAAAGGCCGTACTTTGTTCAGCAGCCGCTTCGGCTTCCCCACTGGAGTCCTCATTTAGCTGCGGGAGGAAAGCAGAGGCCGACGAGGGTCTTCTGCTCGGAGTATTTACCGTCGAAGATGCACCAGATAGGCCAGGGTCAGCCGGCGTGGACGGTGGAGGATTTGGGCCTGGTGGACTTTCCGAAAAAACTGTTGGCAGGGATGAAGACAAGTCGGCGAGCGATCCAGCATCGGACCGTCCCCCAGAAGAAGTAGATTGATGTGGTTGGCTATCGTGATTGGTTTGTATGGGTGGACCAGCGACAGAGTTGCGATTGCTAGCGAATCGGGTTCGGCCATCACCGCGACGCAGGAAGCCACTAGAGCCTCTATCGCTACGGAGAAGATTTCCGGCAGATAGGAATGGTAGGCGAAGGAGCGATTCGGCGTTCAATCTAGCATTGGTACCGCTTTCATTCCCAGTGCTACCGTTAGCCGGGATAGATCTCACGCCGACAACAACTAGAGTCAGCAATCGCCTTTCAGGATTTTCTTCTCCTGGATCGTAATGACCTGTCTCCATTGAATCACCAGCGTCTTCTTGGGATTCGGATGAGTTTGACTGAGAAGGACTGTTGTGAGCATTATCGGCGTTGACGAAACGAAAGACTCTTAAGAAATTAACATTAGGGAAGCCTCCCTCGGCCGAATTTTCACCGGCACCAGCCTCTTCCTGCGAAGAAGCAATATGTTGCAAGCCTTGCAAGAGGGACTCAAGCGGCCCATCCAGACCATCCGCTCCGATATTTTGAAGGTTGGAAGCTGCTGGAGTCGCATTTCCTGAAATCTGAGCTGCGAGTGCGCTTGCAGCCAGGTGTAGGATGTGAGACAGGGGCGTTTGTGTAGATTCATCTCTTCGGAGTAGCCGAGTTGCTCGTGACCTAATTGCACCAGGCGATCTCCTGGCCTCCGAAACGGCCGGGACATATCGAGAAGAAGCTGAGTTTGAGCGAACGTGTCGAGCTGCCGGCTCAACTGAATCAAGTTCGTGTGGCTCATCCAAATCCATCGCAGAATCCATTTGTCGTAAAGGTGGGAGCGAACCATCTGGATCTTCCGTAAACCCGGAACGAGAAGGACGTCGTGGCGGGGCCGTAGATGCATGACTTGTGGTTGAAGGTGAACCTTGGCCGAACATATGTGACATCGGTGATGCTATTGAACTACGCACATGGCTCAACCGGGAGTGGCGGCGCCAAGAGAACCTACGACGTTCGGCGGCTCTATCAGGACTTAGGAAAGTTGGATTCGGAGGGGATTCGGGCAGGAGAGCAGATTCGCCACGTGGTAGTGCGTAGGGTCCCCGGATCGAGCGTCTTCTTGCTATTCCCCGAGATCCTAGGTTTCTGAGCGAAGGTGACTGTGGACGATTGCGGCCATCCTGTCGAGAGGAGAGTCCGGATCTGGAAAAGAGAGTGGGACGATTAGGCTGGCTTTCCCCTGACGATTCACTTCCACGGCTATGTAGGCTTCTCCTGATGGAGCTCGGAATGATTCTTGACCCTAGTCTCGACATGGTTGACTGTCGGCTACTGGACGATTGAGCAGACTGACGAGTATGAATGGAGCCCTGCGTCGACAGTCCCTCCATGGCCAAGTCTTCGTGCTCATCATGCACGAATGATCCTATGCGTTCTTGATTTTCTATCGATATTCGGGTTGAGGTTGACCCCCGGGAAGCTGGAAGCTCTGAGATCGATGGCGTAGTGGCTTCCGACCCACTGGTCGGCTCACTCGCGTTGCGGCTAATTTGCATGCTCGGAAGACTGGAAGATGGACCAATGTGATCGTCCCCGATTTGCTGATCAGAGGTGGAGCTGGTGCGGCGAAAAAAGTCCGCCCGTTGCGAGGAACCAGCTTGGCCCATTGCTGTAGCTGGGGATGAAGCAGCTGAACGGCGATCGGAAAGAGCAACAAAGGAGTTAGGCATGAGCTGCCATGTCAACAAGGGTAAAAGGAAAGCCTGTGAAACATTAAACACGTAAGCATTAACCTTCTAAAATAAAAAAATTATTCGAAAGGACATGGAAGATTGCGAGGTAGCATATCTCTGCCCTGTAACGGTTGATGGGTGAGGTTTTGCTCACTCAGAAAAGGTCGCAGAGCGGGCAAGAGGCGATGTGGAGGAGACATGGGGAATAAGACTCACGAAGAGGAGCTCTCAAGCGGAGTCAAAACGCTGGGCCAAATCGGTGGCTTGTACGGAGTACCTAAAAGCGAGTTGGGCTAATCGATAGGCTAGAATGTGTTTCTAAGGCCGTTTCAGCTTTGCCTTAGATGATACGGGGTAAGGAGAGCGACGCGGCAAAGAAAGTGACGGTTGATTCAGTTCAAAAGAAAGACAGCCTCTCTCGGCCTGCTGGATATCCAGACAGGCAAGTTGGATTCAGAGAAATCCGTACACCTGCGAGAGGGGAGAGGTTCGGATGTGATGGATGGGGGGTGAGGAGGGCGACTTGCTGGGTGATGCAGGATGGATGCAAGCTGAAGATAGGTGAAGGGGGCGGCGGGCGGACCAGTGGCGCAAAAGCATGACTTCATCGGAAAAACAGATCTTCCAGTGCAGAGCCGCCGCCCACCTGCATCCATACTGTAGATCCATTCCGCAAGTCACTCTCCGGCTTGCCCGGAACATCGCTATTGTCTTCGCCTTAGAGTGGTGTCGGAAGAAGCTCGACAGTTCAATCACCGAACGCCGCTGCGGGAGAGAGAGACCGGCTCTTGTTTAAAGGTCGATTAAATAGCTAACTGCCCCATCCCTCGTCAATGGATCCATTTCCCCACCGTCACATCACTGGATACTGATGAAGATGTAGATCCATTTGTACAGTAGGTACGGAGTGCAGTGCATACGAGATGAGTGTGCACATTATTTCTTCCCCGGGGAAGCCGCCAGTGTGGGGCCCGCAGACCTCTAAGATGAAGTTTGGATCCATGCTTGGCCGTTGATACCTTTTCAATTGCTGATGGTCGGATAGCTTCTGCGAAGAGGTATGGTGGAGAGGCGATACCCGGACGAGCCTCCATTAAAATCCACACCACAGCGCAACATTAATATCATATCTAGGACTATCATTTTACGGGATATGTGGGAGAGTTTATCAATACTCTTACGAGTTTAAGCTATGGTAGGGTTCACCCGTTCCCCCTCCAGTGCGCCATGTCTCGCCGTTGGTGAAGCGAATCGAAGTCCCCCTCGGCTTGCGTACGTTTGATATATTTGACTTGCTGATCTGGCCCTTCGCGGTTATAAAGTTTTTCTGGGATGCTACGCTCTCTACCGCCAGCGCTCGCGCGAGAACGAGACCCAACTGACCCATTATCTCTCCTATATCTCTCTGGTCATTGTGGGAATCGGTTCCGCGGCGTACCATGCAACATTGAAGTACCCATTACAGCTAGGTATATATTAAATCCTACCTGGTGGCCACTGGCTTTTGTTGCCATATCGCAACGTTTGTGGACAGCCGTGTTGACACGCACCTTATTCCTCCTGCCAATTTAGTTGATGATCTGTCCATGTTGTTGGGTGCGGGCATTATGTTCCATCATGTCCTTACCATCAATCGCGGGACTGGAGATCAAATTCGACTGTTTCTCCTTATCACTATTGTTCTCTCGCTCGCAGTCTGGGCCCATATAAAAACGGGCGACTCAGCGTTGCACCAGATCGTCTTCGGCAGCATGGTTGTTACCGTTGGATTCCGAACATTCAAGCTTCTGAAAGCAATGATATCCAGCCGGAATATGCGTTCGAAATTACGGCGACTCGCGACTCGGGGATATTGTGAGTATACTTTACAACCCGCCCAACCTTTTCACGAGCGCTCAATGCTCACTTGCATTTTAGTGATACTGATCGTTGCGTATGGCCTGTGGTTGATCGATGTCTTCGCCTGTCAACACCTGAGAGCTCTCAGACATGCCATCGGGATTCCTTTGGCTTGGTTGTTTGAGCTCCACGGCTGGTGAGTTGCTTCCCATTATGGTGTCTGGCGTCCAGGCTAGCTTGAGATCCGTTGAGACTAATGAGTTTGGTTAGGTGGCATATTTTGACCGCTACAGGCGTATATATATACATGCTTCTCGGAGAATATCTCCAACCTGCTTATCGTGATCAGGAGTCAGGGGGAAATGATGGATGGATTTCAATTTTGAAAGGTCCATCCAATGTCAAGCCAAAAGAGTCGAGGACAAACGGGTGCATCAAGAAACTCAGTTGATCGAACATTGTCGGACTTTCCTTTCAACCCTGAGAAATGCAAAGCTCCATGTTGCGTGGTGGACAGCAGCTACTCTGTGAGAGCATGAACAGTCTTAATAGGAAAATAATTCGAAACTACTGTGATAACCAATGCTTACGAGATAGTAACAACTTTTCATCGAAAGAGGGGGTTTCAAGTGTGAGAGTGTCTTGGTTAATGCGTTCGCAGGACAAGGAATTTGCATCCTGAATTATTATTTGTTGAGGCACGGACAAGGATAGCCTGTGAAAGGAGTCACCTATCAGGTAAGGACAACCAAACAGGACAGACACAAATCTTCCTCTATAACTAGTCTGTAAGTTAGAGCAACCCTTTTTTGACCCCGTTTTAAGCTCATTTGTCACCCATGTGGTCAATAACCCATCAAGAGCATCACCCATTCCCATGCAGTAACGCAGGAGCAAAGATATCAGTATACCCATGAGAGGATTGATAACTCACAACAGTCAGTCCATCACCCTGATAGTGATAAGCAGATGGAACCATCTGCTAGATTGGGATTGACCGGAGTCCGACCATTCTCGTCATGCATTATCGCCCTTAGGAACCGCTTCTAGTCTGTTTATAGATAGAGGCTGTAGCCCGTGCCCAGATGTGGGAAGCTCTCCTAACAGCATGGGTAACTCTAGCAGGATGAAACCCCGGGCACCACAGCCATCGATTTCGAGCATTCTCACTTTGTGACGGGTTTGAATGGCTCCAGGCTGCTGCTCAGACTCCCACTGGTCTTGGAGAGCTTCCTCTGATCACTCTCGCTATCAAGTTTATCGCTATTTTGTCATTTAGAGCCTGGCTCGAAGTAAATCCGGGTACGTCCACTCGAAAAGTCGGGTTCGCCACCTAAGTTAGGATCAAAACGCTGACCCTCTGATATAGCCTATGAATGTCCCTTCCTCTGTCCGCTCGAATATCTAGAGGCCCTGTTCCATCCCAACTTCATGCTGTAGAATGGGATATTATTGCATCTTCATAAATCTTGAAATCAGACCGAACTGAGCCACCCCTGAATATTCGATACTCTTTCATGAATATCCGTTGGCTTAGCCGAGTCATCATCATTTCAGGAACTGTTGGAGATATTCAAAGACTCAAATGTTTCCCTATTGCTTTCTTCCCTTAATCACTTGTCTCAATAAATGTCCTTAGGAAGGATAGCCTTTGCAGTTATGTGTAACCCACCCAAAAGCCTCCTGAGATGCCATCATCAATGCCTTCTGATCGGGGAGAGCTTGACACGAAAGTCCTTAGGAGTTAGCATAATCGTGTTCATGGTGGACAAACAGTTTGGAGTAGGATTTGTCCCAAATCCACTGGCTTGTATTGCCTGACCATCTTCTTGAAGCCATACATCAATGCCTATACATTAGTCGGCGGCAGTAGCAGGTATGGCGGACATGTACTCTAGTAGCCAATTGTTGGGAGGTTGTAATCCCAACAAGCTCCCATGGTGGAAACATTAGACTATCGTAATGTAAATTATCATCAGCAGCAGGTGATAGGGAGAGAAGTTGCCAGGTATCAGCTCTAGACATCCACATGCCAGCAACATTGGGTTGAATATATGGCACTGAGCCAGGAATATCCATGAATGTTTGCAGACAACCAATCCCGGCTGAAGGGATATGACTCAAAAGGAGGAGCTCTACTTCCCACAAATTCAAGTATCATTCCAGACAGTCCACTGAGGCTGGCCCCTAACTAAAAGGGATACAAGGTTTAGGTGGCAAATGGCGCACATTATGGTGACCAACTCGGTATTGTTTTGACAAGCCCTGCAAATGAACATTGCGTAGTTCATTGAGGACAGGATGCAACCGCAGGCTAACAAAATTGCAAAGCAGCCCAGGTTTCCAAAATACGCCACAGAGGATGGAGAGTCTTGCCTCAGAGGCGTTGGAGTGCCGCTGCAGGTATCCCGCAAAGCCAAAAATCAGCCCTGCAAGATGGCACGGACGCCCTCCACGCTCTTCTCAACCAAGTTTCATAACCCATCTTCTGTCCCGCCTGTCCCCAGCCTGGAGAATCGCACCCTATCAGAGTCCACGTCAGCATATGCTGCAAGTTTGCTACTCTGCATCGACGCGGGCCACACATCGGTTTAGTCACCTATCGTCTTCCACCTCAAAATGTAATCCAAAAGCTACTCGAGGTGCAACGGTCTAGACTGCTGAAATCTGAAATTCCAGAGAGACAAAGGGAGAAAAGGGCAGTTAAAAAGAAAGGAGCAAAACGTCAAGGAAATAAAATCTGTATTGTCCATCGCCATCATCAAAATCTATCCATCAGAGTTTTGAATGAGGGGTCTTGCAAGAGCTGTGTTGCAGTCAGACGCTTCTCAGGGAAGTAGTTAAATCCTCGACTCAGAATGGAGTATACAAGTTCTCGCTTTGCTGGATCGGCGCGTCCTTCCGTAGGAACTCCACCTACGTACAAGATTGAAGGTCGGACTAGGCTGATTGTTCTGATCATATCATGAATTGACGCTTGATTTGGGCAAGATGTCATAGCGCCTTCTATTCCTCAGGGAGCGGGCCTAAGAGCTTGACCGTAAAACCCACAGCAGTCCCCATCTGAAAAGGTGGTGAAAAGGTGGAGACCAAGGTAGAGCTCTGAAAAGATGCACGTGTAGCTCCACATGTCGCAAGCAATGCTTGGACCTTTGTTATGAAGTCAATCCAGGGAACAGAATATAGTTGGTGGACGGCCATCTAGAATCTTGAGATCACTAAGTTTCATCGCCAGGCCAAAGCCTCGTATTTCACTTTCCTGCCGAGGTGGTCAAGAGGAACCATGCCCCATAGGCAATTACTATCATTTGGATCTGAAAGGAGAGACATTACCATGTGAATAATAGCACAAGACAGACTCTTGCTTTGCCTCAGCGCACAGTTCCAGCTTTGTGTAGGTTTTCCACGGCCTCCAGCAACTGCATCGTAGCGGTCATTCAGGTAGCCATTGACATATCTTTCCACCTCAGGTTATAAATGCCAACCACATCAGGGAAGCACCACGACCCGGTGACTGCACCTGTCTCCACAAAGTGTAGTAGTCACCAGATACATGACAAGGTGCAAGGTATCCTGTACACTCTGCTGTATTTCATCATGCATCCGAATCTCATGTTCTCTCGACTCGCTTGGCACCAGAACTTTTAACGGCCACATACTTTTTTTCCTGAAGGTCATGGGCCATCCAGATAGTAGTAAAGCCACCCATGGCCGAGTTTGTGCTCAACGCGGTATCTCTCATCAAGCACGTCTCCAATGCAGATCGGGTAGAATATGGATAAAAATTGATTCTTATCATACTTCTCAGGGGGCCTCAGCGACCTCCTCGATGAATCCCTCTTCGCGTTCAGTGTGCGCAAAGTCGCCCGGGGTCATCCATCTCGGTGCTAGTAACCTCCGAGGATTTGGATATCACACTGCACTCGCTTAAGCCATTGCACTACAGCAGAATATCTTGTTGTTGCGGGAAGCCACAGAGTTGTGCAAATACTTACAGGAAAGAAAAAAAAAAAGAGATCGCTGAAAGTAGTGGTTAAAATGATTCTTTTTATTTGTCCTTTTTTGCACCCTGTTTGTAGCCTCGCACAATTTCACTCAAGGTTGTACCCTAGTGGCTTCGAGCTACCAGGTTGAACCGACCAACCAACAACAGCAGAACTGCACATCTGCTTCATTCCTGCACCTTGGCCGGCCTTCAATTCGTTGTGAATACGGAGTACAGAGTACATGGCTTCTCTCTTCGTGCCGCTTCCTCCCGGGTGAACCAATCTGAATCAAATTGCCTATGCCACAGGCGTGAACCTGCAAAGCCCCTAACAACTATCACGTATCAGGCAGCAGGAGAAGGGCAGTTTATATAGTCGTGAAAGTAGCAATATGGCGCTTTACCTGATTAAGATGATGCTAAACCCTGTGAGGCAAACCCCCGGTAGCTACAGTACTCCGTCTCGGTACTCCATAAAGAGCCCTTCGTCTAACAACAGATATGCACTTTTTTAGCACTCCCTCAATGCAAAGTGGACTAGGAGCGCTTTGTGACCCCTCACAAAATCACAATACAAACCCCCCCCCCCCGCCTCGCTTTTCCGGAAGATGGAGGGAAGTTGTGTGGTAATGTGGGATAGGCTTTGGGGAAGGGAATGCATCCACCGCAGACATGGTTCCTATGGACAGACTGTGGGCAGCCTTACAAAATGGTGAATGGAATACCAATCCCACCGGTCAAAACAACCGCTCAGTCCGCCATGTTCCGTGCAGAGTACAGCCCATGCACTCCGTACTCCGTACCATCCCAGTAAATACGGTGGCTGTACGCAGTCCGGAAGACTGAGCTGATGGGCTAAGTGGGTTAACGAGTAAGTTACACGGTGGATACTGTAACTAACTAAGCAAGCGTACTCCACGTGGGAATCAGCCACATTGATGGGGCCGGTGGACCGTGACTAATAACGAGTCGATAGTTAGTTATCCAAACTGGCAGAGCTGAAGATGAGAGAGCAAGAATACGGAGGACATCAAAAAAAAATAAAATGACGCCGGCGTGCCGGGAAAGACCTTCTCTCGTCTCGGCCGGAAGATGGACAAAACCTATTCTCTTTAGGGAAAAAAACAGTTGTAAACGGGGAGTTTCCCGGCGGCATATTGCAGACCGACAAGCTTGGAATCTTGCGGGGGGTGTAGGTTAATTTAACACGTCGTCACGGATCGTTACTTATGAGAGCTTTTGATAACACCTGTGCGGAGTACCCCGTACGAGCTTCTGATAAGGGTGGCAGAGGACTTGGCATGCCTTAGCATGACCCTTGATTTTGGGGCCATGCCATTTCCTTTGTTATCGGCGACGAAGTTGGGTGCAAGGGCGAATATCCGGGAAAGGAGCAGTCAACCCCAACCAGGATTCTCCATTCAATACGGGCCGCCGAACCGGGATGCTGGGAGGGCATTCCCGGCATCGAGGGCGGCACCATGGCCGAGGAACTCTATGTAACCTTTGAGTTCAAGCTTCTCCTTCTCGGCCTCCCGTGCATCGTTTCCCGATAGAGAGTGAGGGCTAAAAAAAAAAAAAAAAAAAAAAAAAAAAAAAAGAAAAACAGAAGGAGGAAAAAGAAAAAGGACGGGTCACACGGGACAGGTTCCGTTCCTGTTTTGGAAGACCTTCTCTGGCGCCAGAATCGTGCGGCGTCCTGTCTTTTTTTTCTTTTTTTTTTTTTTTTTTCTCAGACTGTCCACCGAGCAGTCTGGAATGGTGGCTTTGCGCGAATTGGAAACCGGCGTCTTCAAGCAACACAGGGCTATCGGGATTCCTCTACCGTCTTGCCGTCAAAAAGGTTGGCCCCGGCGGCCAAACCCCGAGATCTCAGCTTCGGACCATGGAAAGATGCCTGCACGTCAAATTCCTGAGATACTTGTGTGCCGCCATATAAGACCGCCAACTAAGGCATGGACTGCGTCAGGCTTCCCGGGGAAGATTGGACCCCTCGTTCTTGCCTGTCAATTTATCTGCAGGCGATAATGCGCAGTGGGCTCCGTTGTTACATGTTCTCCGGACGTACGGAGTGCCTATTCTTCTTTTCCGGGACGAGCGCGGCCTTGGCAGATCCTCGGAAACCGAAGGCACAAAGCGGAACGCAGGGACGCGGCGATCAAGGACTTCGTGAGAATGGAGGATGCCGAAGCAAGATCGGACAAGTCATGAACTGTCTATTCTAGGCCCAGCTATCAATTTGCCATGGAGTACCTTTTGAGATCCATGCGATACCCTACCCTAAATATTACTGGTAGGATTTTGTCCCAGCGGCATCGCGACCCACAACCCTTGCACTCAAAAAAACTAAGATCTATATAATTAATTGGTGCATGGAAAAACCATGACCCTTGGGGGCCCTTGCATGGTTGCTGGATTTAACAGCGGAGATGTTTGGCAATGAAGACAGCGCCACACCTGCGGTGCCGAGGGAATCCATTCAAGAGGACACCTGGCTCGAAACTGCTCTGAACATGGGGAACCATGAATAGCATCAAAAGGATCCTTGGATCTTGAGACAGTGGGCCACCACCAGAAGGGGAAGAAAAGGGGAGGGAAAAGGGTAAACAAAGGCAAAGAATGATACAGAAGCAGAGAAGCAAGTATTATAATGCGAATGTGTAGACCGCAAGGAATCACCAGGGCGCCGCAGTAGAGTTTCAAACAATGCCATACATGCATCAACAAGCCAATTCTTCCCATGTAATTGTAAAAAAACCAACTCGAGAAAATAGAATGATTTCACACGCCCTGTCCCATCTTCTCTAGCCCCTTCTCGGCGTCATCCAATAGGGTTTTCAGTTCACGCCCTCCATCAGAGCCCCTTCCTTCAGCTTCCAAGCCTTTCTGAAGCCAGTCGATGGCCTCCTCCCATCTTCCCATCTCGATCAAACACTTTCCACCCCTCCACCAAGCCTTTGTGTTGGTTTCATCGTTGCATTCAATGCTAAGCTGCGCATCGACCCACGCTTCGGGCCACTGCTGCTGGGACATGTGTGCCTGAGCACGATTTGAGTAGAGCGGAGCCAGTTCCTCTCGCACCAAGCCAAGCGGTTCCCACGCGGGCCGTTGCATGGCCATGTCGATCGCATAGCTGTATAGTCTGATGGCCTCTGCGAAAGCGGACTTGCGATATGCCGTGTTTGCGGAATCGCGCAGCTTGGAGACTTGGGCGCTGCGTTTCGGGTTCACCGGTCGCGGCGGGGGAGGGACATTGGGGCTGTCGAGGTTCAGAATGGAGCGGTGCAGGGAGTTGAGGGCGTCGAGCTCGGTGGAGAGGCCGGGATATGAGGTATTTGGGGCAGAGATGGCTTTGGAGGTTGGGTCGAGATGGAGAGGGTGCTGCAAGAAGACTTGGGCCGGAGAGGCCATGTTGGTATGGAGTCCTTGGGGTTGAAGCCCTTTTCCTTTTCTTTTCTTTTTTCTTTTTTGGTATTCTGAAGTATCTAGGTTATGGAATGGATAATCTGGGATCTAAGGATGTTATTGAAGGGAATGGGAGATAGGCTTTGGAGAGGGAGCTTGATGTTGGTTTTTTGGTGGTGACGGAGGAGTTTAAAGGTGGCCTTTAATCAACTTAAGAGTGAAAGCGCTGGTTCTGCCACCCAATTGAAACAGTCTACGGGGTAAAGGGTGGCTACACCAAGTAGGAAATTCAATCTTCGAGACAGCAAGGTAGAGAGATACAGAAGACCCTCTAGATATAAAACTCAACCATCGTCTATGAATATCAAAATGACTGTCCCTTTTTGATGTCGGGGACATTTTTTTTTTTTGTCCGCTTCCTAGGCTCTTCCTGGAATTCATGAACTACGGCGGCCAACCCGGGACGAACCCGCAACTAGGGGATCTGCGGAACAAAGTTAATCCGCCAGTGGTGTCAAATCGTCTACATCGGGCAGGAGCCGATCCACGCCCAAAAGGCTCCTCCCCAGAAACGAAAGAGTGCCACTACCAAGATAGGCAGGTAACTCACGTGTTAGAAGCAGCAAACCCCGGCTCCTTCTCTTTGCGGCTAGGGGTTCCTTCGCCGAAATAGGTAATATACATACATAGGCCAACCCTGCACACCCCGCTCCTTCTCCCTCCTTTTACTCCGTACCTGCTCCTCTTAGCCCCTCCCTCTCCTCTCCGCCTGCTTCTTTGGACTTCCACCGCCTCCTTGCGATGGTCGTGCTCAGGCTCTCAACGTCAAGCATACATTCATACTCCAGGGCTTCATTGCGGCATTTGAAATTAGCGGGGAACTTTCCAAAAGGAAATATGAAGAGAGTGTATGTGTATGATAAGTGACGGGTGCGGAGTAATTTAAATAGTTAGGCAGTGAGAAGGAATGACATACATATCAGAGGCTTTTCACTGTTGCATTGATCCTTCAGCGAACACCCATTCCATAGTTAAAGCAGCTAGTCAGGTGCGAGAGCCGCAAAGAGCTCTCCGAGTTTCCACACGCTCGCGCCGTGAAGCTTTTCTGACACCTTCATGCTTCGGGCAACCCTCGGTGCCCTAAGTGCTAGGGCCCAGAGAACTTCACCTTTCCTGTGCTCCTCTGTCGCGTCTAGCAATATAGCTTGAACATCATGTGAAAAAGCACACCTCCTCCGCATAAGGGCGCCTCTTAACCCGTTGTCAACCGTATCGTCCTTGAGATCCGGCTTCCGGCTAATTCGAATTCAGCCAATGCAAGGCACAAGTGATCATTCAAACGGCCATGGATACACCGAGGCTGTCTGTTATCTACGCTAGCTAAGCCTCTTGGCATTCCGATTCCACGAGGGGCTGGAATGGTCTTCCTCGCCCAAACCACCATATACGTCTGGGTACTCCGGATGGACTATCGCCTTTCATGATTCAAGCCGCACTCGCCGACGCTTTCTGATGCCTGAAAATCACTTTATTTTTTCAGACAATAAATGCAGGCAGAAACTATGATATCACTCCGTGCTCCGCGGACTGAACAAGCCCTTTTCTCGGGTGCGTGAGCTTCACCAGTATCAAAACCTGAGTTCTGGACACCTTGTATGTTCTAAAAATATCTCCGTATCAGCCGATAGTCTCCAATTCTGACCGCCCTCGACCAGCCATCACCGAGCAACTAATTTTTAGCGTGGAGGCCTGGGTCCCAAAACGCTCAACCCAGGATGCAGATGCCAGGAGGCTCCCAACGTAAGCCAATCAGCATCGATAACAATGCGTTGAGTGCAGCTGTCCAGGCGGGCCACAATGTTATGAGTTCGGCCTCCATGAACCGGACTGATACATACTTGACCCTTGTGACGAGAGCTTCCCGTGCGCGGAGGCACACCCTGAGGTTGTTTTCGTCAGCAGAGAAACTAGCCAAAGCAGTCCCATAGTTTCGCCCCTCTGCCCCAACAAAGACAGCACGGCGCGCCTCTCCCGCAAAAGAACCGCGTAGATTGAATTATCTTTTTCCCTATCCTGACATGTGGAGCCCCATGCATCGAGCCATTCTGGTTGTCGTAACAAGGTTTTTGGATTCTGACGAGTCCCACCAGGTGTGACCATCATGGCGTCCCACGGCGACGATGAATCATGATACATTATGTAAACGCAAATCCACTTTGATGCCATTGGCGGCTAGCTGACGAACTTAATCAGTTGGTCAGGATTTACTTTTTCTCGGGTCCGCGGGGTCATCAGGCCCTCTCAATTCCCTATCCCCGTCCGAGAATTGCACAACATCGAGGTCAAGTTTATGATTCCTCGAAGGGAACTCCTGGCAGCGATAACTAGTGGTAATGGTGTATTTCTAGGTAAATACCGGTATGGTTAAGTGAGTCGAGCGCGTTCGCAGCGCCGGACCTGGGCAGATAGTCGGGACGCTGCGTTGCAGGGATGCAGTGGCGCATGCCCGGGACACCCTGGGCGATCCAGGGGGACTGGCTTCGCACCACCCGAGAGACAGTGGCTATCGGAACATCCAGCCGAACCTTCCTGCTGTTCCACAAAGGCTGAACGGGCTTCGCACCCTGGGGTTGAGTATGTAGGTAACCAACGAGCAGTTAGACGCATCATGAGTACGACAAGTCTGGCGGCGCCTGCAGCTCTAGAAGCGGCAACAAAGATATGAAGCTAAATCGGCGTGCATACGCTGGGGCACACAGAGCACCAACTAGTCAGCGAGAGATCAGCCTGGTTGGTGGATAGTTCCTTGACTCAGGCCGAAGAGCCGTTTTTATTGAAAGCCTCGCAAACTCAATTTTGCCCTCTCGAGATCAGGTTGGCGACCCACACTGCCCATGAACATAGGACCGTTTGGACTTCTCCATTCCACACACTCACACCTTTCTCCAAGGGAAAGCAAAGAATCGTTGCTGTACGGAGGAACTATCTGGGGCCCCTTCCACGGTTTTTAACTCGATAAGGCTCGAGTGCGAATACGGAGTGTGGAGAGCATTCAGATCCAAACTTTGGCTTCTCCACACACTCTTTTTCTCGCGTCCCCCTTCTCTCCCAGTCAATGCCGTGCTGGAGTGCCACTGGGCCAGGGACGATTTCCAGCAAGTCCATTTGTCCACAGCTGGACAGACTTTTCTCCAAACATGTCATAGTGGCTAAATAGTGCGAATCGTTTTTCCTTTTTCTGGGCTTTTACGGGTCAACGATTTCCACATCAAGAAGATGACCCCATCTCTGGCTTCCGGCGCTCTGGTGCCATCCGCTAACCATATTCCCTGCAAATCACACCCGTTGGAAATCCCCCAGTTTCCGCCCCAGGCCCTGATTCTTTACATAGAAATCCTTGATGCCACCCGATCAGCAGTCAGCTCTGACTTCAAACTAGCCGGAACAAGGCCCCGTCCGCCTGCTTCCCACCCTGGACGAGCACGATCTCATCCGTGCTCAGATGCATGTTGTCTGTGAGTAACGCAAGCTTAGAGGCACTGAACCCTGCGCACCTTTAAAATTCGCACAAGAGTACTCCGGACGGAGCACGGGGTACGGCCACTCCCTTGCAGATTGAGTTTGGCCCTGGCTGGCTTCCTGCCAGCGGTTATTCCTTTTTACTACGGAGTATCTCCTCCACTATCCGTCCCTATGGGCAAGACCCTTGAGCCAGCTTGGAACTCTTTGGGATTGGTTTACGATACTGAGGTAAAATTTCATTAGAAGTGTCCTGTTTGGCTAACGTTTTCCCCCTTTAGAACTTCTTCGCATATCTGGCCGCCACTGACGACATGGCGATCAGCTTTCTTTTTAATGTAGATATTCTTTTCTCCTTTGAAGCAAACCTGCGAAGCTGCTGTTATACCTAAACACGCTATCTCTACAAACGCTGTTTATCATCTTCTCTTGAAGGCTACTCACGGAACTTGGCTCCCGCAACTGTCACACCTCTGTCCTCTGAGAATTGAAAAGTCGATATGGAGAGCTCTGATGCGTCCGGATTCCACCGGGAGGGTGGTTACTCGACACCGGGCCCGAATACGTGGAATATACCGTCAGCTGCGTTTCCAACTCCGTCGAACATTTCATTAACTCCGCACTATCCCAACACACTTGCGTTATGGCATAATCCGCACCATATTCATCCCTCCCCTGATTCCCAAGATTTTCGACCTCAACCTCAGGTTCCTCAGAGGCCCCCGGAACAGAAACGGCACAAAAGGACCAAAAGTGGCTGTTTCACCTGTCGCGCACGCCGAGTAAAGGTCGGTTCTCACTTCTTGTGTGTTCTTTGTCCTCTTTGTGTCGCCAACTGTGAAGGTTGCGTAACTAACAGGCGCCAAGTGTGATGAGACTCGCCCTATTTGCGAGCGTAAGTATAATCATCCGCCAGTTGCATATATTAAGTCGCATGTGTTAATTTGGTTTATCGTTCAGGTTGCAGTAAAGGAAAGCGAGAGTGCAATTTCCCTCCAGCTCCAATTTTAAAGAAAGATAGTCGATCAAATATGAAGAAAAGCGAGAAGTATCCTTCAATTCGAGAATCCGAATCAGAGGAGGCTAGTCAAAATGATGCTAGCACGGGCACCCAAGACTCGTGGAAGCGGGATATTCAACCGCGACAGATGAAAGAAACCTCAAAACAGAGTGCGTCTACCCAGAGACATCAAGTTCAACCTCTCGCACGAAGGAAGATACGCCAGTCGTCCGAGACGGGTTCGAGTCTAGTAGATACGACATGTGCATCTCCATCAAGCGATATCACTGGACTATCGACAGAATCACCCAGCCCGGCAGCTTGCAGTGATTTAGATTCTCACTCGCTACCACCCTCCACCCCTTCTGACTTGTCTGTCTTGACACCGGACGTTACGTTTTTCATCGCTTATCGCAAACAACACATAAATTATCACCACTATCTTCTTAAATCCCATGCAGCAAAATTCTTAGGTGACGACATGATGAGCTATGCTATGGGCTATGAGCCTTTGCTATATGCCGTCGTTGCATTTTCCGCATATCATTACTCAATTGCACATCCCAACGGAAAGCTTTACACCTTTCTTCAGTACTACAACAAGTCGGTCTCGCTACTCTTAAACTCGCTCCGAGGGGGTGAGAAGCATAACGATGCTATGCTTTTAACTATTCTTCAGCTAGCTGCATTTGAGGTACGTACATGTTGCCCTAACGCTGGTTTACCTGTTGATTGGAGAATACTAGGAGCTTGTCGGGGACTGGGTGAACCTCATCGACCACCATCAAGCTGCCCACCGCATGCTGGTAGACCTTTATACTCCGGAAAGTATCAATGTCGATTATTTCCATCGTCATATCCTGCTCTGGTACACCAGATATGATGTGATGGCTGGTTTGATGTCAGGGAACTCGATGGTTTTGAGTCGTGAGTGGTATATGGCAGACGAGGAATTCTCAATGCAAGATTCTATGGTCCATCCGCATGACTTGAACAAGAAGGTTATGGCGTGGGGTGCAAGGTGCCGACGATTCGGAATGGACATGGCATCGTTATTTGCGAAAATAACCCAAGGCCTCATTACACCTGAGCAGTTTATAGAGGAGAAGGCGATCGTTGATGACGCTCTCGAGGAATTGCGGCAGTTTCTGGAATCGATGAAGGACCCAAGATATCTAGTGCTCTCCTATCCACATCAACAGCCACTTGAACCTGGAGATGTTTTTGACCCTTACGTGCCCGGAGTTATCTATGGCGATGAGCTATGGGACGTTAACTTCTGCGCAATGGAATTGATAACAACAACCCTGTTATATAAGTACCAAATAGGGGCGATACTGAAAAACATGGACCACTCAGAGTTGTGTGAGATGGCCAAGGAACAAGCTCAGAGGATTGAAACATTGAATCGCTGGCCGAACTGTCCTGAAGAAATGCATCTTTGGTTTATGTCTCCTTTGGGAATGGTCGTACTTCTTCTGCCTCACGACGAGGAGCATATTATGTGGTGTCGAAAGAAGTTGGCTCGCAACGAGCAGTTAGGGTACGCACGCTTACTTTTTTGACTTTCCTTTTATATTATTGTTGGTTATCTCCTCCCCGTTGGAGATTGGAGACACTAACTTTTTTTTTTTTTTTGGCGTCTAGATATATCTATCCTCCAGCGATGCGTATGAAGCTGGCCGACTTCTGGAAAATCCCGGAGGTGAAGAACTGGTGGCTTCCCAATGACGAAGGCTATCCAAGGATTGTCCAGGACATCAGGGCATGGACGAAGGAACGCATCACAGATCCAAGGGATACATTCCGTGAAGCCGTTCGGGATATTAAAGCGGTGTTTGGGAACATGAGTTTGGAAGACAGCAGCAGCCCAGGGACCTCTCCGAGTGTCAATAGTGCGGTGGGGCTCTCACCGCGACAATCGCCGCAGGATCTCAGGCCAAGATGACGCACGTGGAATTTTATGCGGAGCTTAGAATTAAGGAATGTTCCAGTCTAGGCAATGGATTCCCGCTGGACCAAGCTGATTTCGACGATTATATTCTACCATGAAGCGGAGCCTTGTAGCTTCGTCTCGAATTCTGTCATCTGTGAACCCAGTCTCCCTTGAACATATTGGAGGATTGGGAATCGGCTCTGTTACTGTTTCTCTCATTCAAAGGAGCTGTTTGCAGATACTGCCGATGTCTTGGTCCATGGCATAGCATTGGGTATCGTCGAAGAGTCCACGGAAAATACTGAGCTTATCTGTCTGTATTAATTTCTGCCATTTGATGCTGGTTGATTCCACAATGTCCCTAGCCCGTTTGGTTAGTTGATCAGCATCGAGAGTTCTCGGTTCGCATAACACCAGCACCCCTTAAATGATGGCAAGAGATCCTACATCGTGAGTTCAATAAAGCTACCTTTTTGTCCCCCTTTCCAGTTCCCCACGCCATCTTGAGTTTATTTGGAGGTTCTCAATATGTACTCCGTCGTTAAGTCTCTACTGTGATTTGCCAAAGAAATATGCTTTGGCAACATTTGAGCCCCTTTGTTCAGCTGCCGAAGTCTAGCGGCGAAGATCTTGGATGCTCAGCAACGAACCGGGAACAAAAATAAAAATTCTCCACTTGTTGATCTTCTCTACTCCGTACTCCGTAGAATTACTTATTATTGCATTACGCTGAACGCCTGTAATGCCGGCCGAGCAGTGAGCGAACTGGAAACCTCAGTCTCTCACATTTACTCGTACACTTTCACTCCGCCAGCCTTCCCTCTAACCTCCACAGCTTCGACAACTGTCGCCAATCCAGCTGGCAGCTCCCTTCCTTCAGGTCCATCGGCATAAGAGACATCCTGTGCACCCATCTCCCCCTCCCCCCATGGCAACGCATCAACATCAATCTCCATTCCCAGAAGGCTCTTCAACACGACACCTGCCCCAGCTTTGCTCATCACAACGTTGAGCTCGGGGCAGCGCTCGTCGCATACGCATTCAACGCAGCCACGTGGCGTGATACACGTGCATGATTCGATCCGTGCGACTGCGCGACGGAGTAGGGAGTCTATGAATTCAAAGGCCTTCGAGGCAATGCCTGAGCCCGACACGCCACCTTTAGCATCGTAGAACGTCAATCTAGCGGGCCGTTGGCGGCGCGGTGGCGGAGGCAGTCGGTCTTCTTGATTATTTTGGGACTGTGCAGAGGGCTTTTTTAATTCTTTGACTGCGACTTTGCACTCCGTGCGGATGTCGCCGGGTGATGAGATCACGAATGTCGGGAGGAGCGACATTACCGCGTGTTCCGCGGCGTGAATTGCAGCGGCCGCATTGAGATTGTGGGACGCGAGGATTTCAAGCGCTTGTTTTGGGACGTCGAGCCAGAGGCCTTTACTGAAAATATCTATCGGTGGGTTGTCGAGAGCCACGGCGTCCAAAATTCGGCCTTTTTTGTCCACTTTGAAGTATCCGTAGACGACGGTGTGTATCTTGATAGCGCCGAAGAATGCCCGGCTGTTAGATTTATCACTGATTTTCCTTATTGCCTCCGTCTCAATTGGATCGATGTCAGTGAAATCCCGCTGCCGCGTCGTCCAATCCACTTGGACACGAACAACTCGAGCAAAACGTAGAGTGGTATTTAACTCCTTTACCAGGTAAGTATGGCCCTGGTGAAGGAATATTGCACCCTCATAAAGAGTGAAAAAAACTCGTCTATCTTCGACCTCCTCTATTACTGCGTTGCGATTGTTCGTGGTGTCGATAACCGCATAATGCTCTTGTTCTACATCACGAATCTGAACGCAGCGTGCTGGCTGAGGACGGAATCGTTCATGACAATGGTAAAACCCCATATTATCCCGTACTAAACGGGTGGAAGCCAGCTGAGCTAGTTGAGGGCCAAAGTATTGCTCATCTTCTTCAGGATGAATAGGCATCTCGAATGCTGCACATTGGAGGTGGCCTTCGAGGACTAGCTCATTCTGTAAATCGACCTGCAACTCGCAGTTGGGTTTTGTGAACAGCTCATCTGGGTTTCGCATGTAATGTTGGTCCGTTGCGTACGAGTCACCTACTAATATCGAAAGTGAGTCTTTATTTCGGCGTCCCGCGCGCCCGCTTTGTTGACGGAGATTAGAGATCGAGAATGGAAACCCATGGCTAATGACTGCATCCAAAGAGCCTATATCGACGCCAAGTTCTAGGGCACTAGTCGCTACTATGCCCAGGAGTTTCCCTTCAAACATCTCCCGTTCAATCTGGCGCCGATCTTGGGGACTGTATCCACCACGGTAGCCCATGACGAACTTGGCGACGCTTGATCGATCTAAGGCACGGAATTCATCTCTCACTGCACTTAGGAGGAATTCACATTGTTTTCGAATACGACAGAAAGCGATTACCCGGACACCGCGGAGGATTAGCTGGCAAAAAAGCCTTGCCGACTCTAACAAACAGTTGCCACGACCAGAGCTAGGGTCACCAGGATCCTTAAAGGGGGTATTCCAACAGATGAATTCCTTACGGCCAGCAGGGGATCCGTCAAAGTCGGTCAATTTGACTTTGTTCACACCAAATATAGTCTTCATATGTTGCTCTGGATTGGCGACAGTGGCAGAGCAGGATACAAATCTCACGCTATGATTCCCCAGAGAAGCGCATATCCTTCTCAGCCGCCTCATAATATACGCGACGTGGGAGCCAAAGAGGCCATTGTACACATGAAGCTCGTCCACGACTACGAGCTTCAAATTTTTGAGAAAGGTACGCCAAGACGATTCCTGTGGCAAGATTGTAATGTGGAGCATATCTGGATTGGTAAATATGATCCTGGCTTCATCACGAATTGCATTTCTCCGCTCCATTGGTGTATCGCCGTCAAAGGTTTCGACCATGGTATATTCTAAGCCTTCCATATACTGCATTAGTTCCTCCATATTCCGCCGCTGATCCTGTGCAAGGGCTTTTGTTGGGAATATATACATCCCTCGGCTTTGGCTATCCTTTTCTAGCTCACAAAGCATCGGCACCTGGTAGATCAGTGATTTTCCTGAGCTAGTTGACGTTGAAACGATCACGTCGTGCCCGTCATGAAGGTTGTTGATGGCTTCAGCTTGGTGCGAATATATCTGAGTGATCCCTTTTGTGTTGTAGAGTGCATTGACCACATTCTGCGAAAGTTGAAAATTCAATTCGCCGTATATGGCCAGCTGGGCATCGAAAACGCGATGTCCATTCGGAACAATCTGACCCGTGTACCATTCTTGCTCCCTAATCTCAGCGATAATTTCAGATATGGATTTTCGATCCTTGGGAATCTGCATAGGCAACTTGGCAGCAGCGGGAGTATTAATGCCAGGACTGCCGGAGACAGGGAGATACACATCCTTTTCAGCTTCAAGTTTTGCGACCGGGTCGACACCTTCATCTTGGCAGCGAGAAAGAAAAGTATCAATAGCATCAGAAAACTTTTTATTCCGCTTCTCGAGCAGGGTCAGCATATGTTTCTGATTATAAACTGGCATTTTCAGGTTATCTTCCATCGGCCTTCGAGTCGCCGTTCCGATATTCTTTTCTCTCCTCAAGTCTCCGTCCACAAACTCAAACAGTAAGACTTCACTTTTATCCATGCTGTTCCCAGCGATCTCCACGTCATCTTCCATATCCTTACCTGATTCTTCCGTCTCCCAGCCATCCCAAGTCTTGCCTAATTTTAGCCCTCTCGAGTCTGGTACGCTCATAACGTCCACTACACCAGCATCCACGGCCTCGAACCTTACTGCTCGTGGGATCAGCACCTTGACCTTGGCCACATCCTCAACGGTCAATCGTTTCCCGCCTGTCTGGGCTTCGACAGATGATTTGATATTCTCAAATGTGGTTGCAAAGTGCTTTCTTGTGCAGCAGAAGGTGTATACGAGGTTCAGGGCACGGTGGGTCTGGGATAGGTCCTTGAATGCAGAGGGCCAGGGGATAGTAGGTTTTGCGGGTGGCTTCACGCTGGAGCGGGAAGCGCTTGATGCTCGAGATGAGGCAGCGGAGGAAGAGCTCGAACGGGAAAGTTTGCGAGAGCGGGATGGGCCATCATGTCGCTTCGTCGGAACTGTGGTGACTGTGGTATGTGCCTCGTCAGCGAAAGGGAGGGCTGCCCGACCTTCTGTTCCATCAAGGCATTCTGCTTTTCTCTTTTTGGCCATGGTCGAGTATGGGAATCGCCTGCAAACACACAGCCGAGAGGATCCGGCACGATTTTCAAAACTTTAGTCGCCTTGTTCCATGTTTAGATCTTCAGGCTGGCAGGTTTGTTTCCGCGTCTCTGGAACTCTGTCGCGCGCCGAGGCGTCAAATCAAGGTTCGAACTAAGAATTAAGCGCTGCTTAGTCGTTCACCATCTTCTGCTTCGCATCCCGCAGAGGCTTCAAACGTATGTGCACAGCTCAGGAAGCGAAGCACGGCGAAGTTATCAAAGGAAGCATTGATTTACCAACAGCTTTCAAAGACCAAAGACATCAAACTTTCGAGTCTCTCTGACAATCGCTGGAGGGAGCCGCTACAGAATATTAGCACCTTGGAAATTCCCTATCTGCCAGGAGGCACTACCCAACATAACATGGCTTGTCTGGGCTATCTGGGTATACTTCCTGAAGCAACCCAGAACTTTTAAAGACATTTGGATAAAGTCGGATATAACGTATTAAAAGGAGATTTGACGCCACAGTACTCCGCACCCTATTAGCACTTCAGAATTAACTGCTAATTCAAAACTCTACTCCGAAAGTAATTACTTACATTCACACTTCCCCCCCTTTGGAGCGGGTCAGTTAACCGGGCATGCATTTAAAAACTCCGGTCACGAAAAGCTCAAAAAAAAATTGATTCTCTTTTAGACAATGTGATAATCGAAATCACGACCTTCCGTATTACCGTCAATGCAAAACGGACGTTATACCACTAAACTAATTGCCCATCTTCTTGGCGAAGATTTTCCGCTCAAAATTTTGACCCACATTATGAAGTGTGCGAGATACAAAAGCGAAACCCCCCTAATCTCTACTTACAGTGTTGTATGGAGAGGTGTCTGCAGAGTCTAGACAATGAAAGTGGGTGAGGAAAGTTTTAAAAACAAAGAAAATCGAAACGATTGAAGGAGCCTTTCTATTCCAACCCCAAAAGGTCATAAAAGGCCAAATGTTCTAGGTAAGGAATATCTCCCAAGACGAAAATATGCACAGGTCACATAAAAGAAAGCAGTTTTGATCGGGAGGTATATGAATAAGACGCGACTCTAAAAGCGAAGGAAGATGAAAGACTACCATGCGCGAAATGGGAAACGGGTGTTGGATAAATATAAAATATAAAACTAAGCACGGCCACATGTGAAATAGCCATGACAAGTAGGTATTGATATCCAGACAAAACATTTTTTCATGAGACATGGCAGTGGATATTCGCACTGTACCCCTATGATCGTTTAAGGGCCACATTCCACCATCGAAGATCAAAATTTCAACAGGATATCTTGTATATTATGATATGCATCTTTGGCCGCGGCAAGGCTTGCAGTCTATACTAAAGTCAGTCTCATCAACGACGCAATATAGGACTGTATGTAGCATGAAAAGCTCACCCTTAACAAATACGGAGTAGATTTGCCATTTTCCATTCCAACAAGGTGGATCTGTTTGCCCGTCGGTTCGTTGCCGGTCGCGTCTCCAACTTTCATTCCCTTGAAGAGCGGAGAATTAAGGACAACTCGTAACACGGCATCGGTGCGCATGATCATGCGTGCAGAGCGCACAACTCTCTTGGACGCGGAGCTTTCTTCGGTTTCAACAACATTAATCTTGAAGGTGCCAATACCACGCTCCTTCCACTCCTTGCCATCGAACTGGAACAGTTTCCCCCGGCAGGAGTACCATGTCTTTTCATTTTCCTCTCCGGTTTCCGCTGAACAGAATATGGAATTAGTGTTTTGTAAGGGAAAAATCAAGCGTGGTTAGAAACAAAGACCACGTACTTTCTTGTTTGAAGAACCTGTCGTCCCTTTTGACCTCCTCTAGTCCCTCAAACGCGGGGCGGCTCTCGTCCTCTCCTTGATCATCCTCTTCCTCCTCGCCATCCGATGCAGCACCAAACGGCTTAGTCTTGGGGCCACCACCAAGAATAGTCGTGCTGGCAGGAGAAGCAAAACTAGTCAACCGTCCCGAAGATTGAGGCGCTGAAGAAGTAAAACTGGCAAAAGCACTCGAAGCAAATCCTCCCGAGAATAACGCGAATGGGGATGCCCCGGTAGCGGCAAGTGGCGACGGGGTAGCAGTAGTGGCAGATGCAACGTTCTCTTTTCCTTGGATACTAGTCTCGGCTTGTTTCATGGACTTGAAGACGGACGCGTTGCTTCCAATGGTGCCGAAAGGGGACTTTTCTGAGCTTGCGAAAGCAGCTAATCCTGACGAAGCAAATGCAGATGCGGACGTCACTGGTTGTGTTTTTGGAGCTTCGTCTTTTGATCTTGACCCGGCTAGTTTACACGCATCCAAGCTGGCGAATGGGGAAGTAGCAGAAGTATTGGCAAATGGATTTGGGAAGGATGCCTATCGGCAAGCGTTGGAGAGTGTTCTTTTCACAAAGTGACTGCAGATGGTCCAAACATACCTTGGATGAATCGTCTTTCGAGACATCTCGTTCTCGCGAGTCATCACGGTGTCTCTTCTTCTCTGGCTCGCCCTCTTCTGTGCGATTAGTGGCAGACAACCCCGGCTTTTCTCCATCAGCCGGATTTTTTGCCTGCCCCGTTTTTTCGGCTTCGTTCTTCTCCAGTTTCAAGTCGTCCTTATCTAGCTGATCCCTACTTCGCTTCTTCTTTGGGCTCAGGAGCTTATTCGCCTCGTTCGCAGGCGCCCGTAATGCTGATGGGGTCCGTTCGCGGTTCTCTATTGGCTCAGCTTCCTTCTCTTGGTCGCTTGAGTTTTCTTCCTTCGAATCTCTTGACCTCTTTCTCCTGTGGCCGCCATCGTCCTCTTTTTTTGATTCTGCATCAGCAGGATCTGCATCTCTCGATTCGTCATACGATCGCTTTCGTCTAAGGCGGCCGCGGTCGTTATCGTCTGTCGACGTAGGCTCTTGGGAAGGCATCGGCTGGTCCTCGGGAGATGGCTGTCGCGAAAGTCCGGCTATGGATGTCTCCTTGAGTTTTTGGCGAACAGGCCGCTCACCAGATCCATCTTTCTTCTCGTCAGAGGCAGGCTCATCTATTGTTGCTGATACGCGTGCTGGTGTTGAAAGTTCCGTACCTTCTGAAAGCTCTTCTACATCACGACGTGGGAGTTCGTCTTCACATCTCTGCTTAGCTTCTCAATGTTAGTAGCTGAAAGGCCGAATTCAATCGTGTCTGCGGAGCTGTTCTAAAGTTTTGGAGCGGCTCATCGATGCGTACCTTGTGCTGGGTTATCTTGTTCGTTGGAATTAAAATGTATTAGCTTTACTCAGAAAACTTGGATTATAACGAGGGTATTTATGCCCTCTAGTTACAATTTCAAGGAGACCTGGAGTCCTCTCACCTTGACTAGCCTCTTGGGAACCGTTCAGGAGGTCTAGACATTCGAAAGGGGTGTGAGTGGCGGTCTTTCCAGACAGCGCTGAGGGTTCGATGGGACTCTCACCGTTCAACTCCGCACCTTGGCCGTGAGCTTCCGGCTCCATTTTGAGAATCTCCTTGTTCCGCTTTGTCCTATGGCCTTGTTGTGGTGTCTGGATGGAGTGGTGTCTAAGTCGGAAAAGTTGGTGGGGAAGGACGGAGCCGAGTGACGGTGTTGCAGTTTGATGATTTGCTGGGTTGGTTGGCTCTTGAACGACAACTGGTTCAGCGAAATCTTGACCACACAACTGCTAGACAGCTCCCAAAAATTAGATATCCCGGTCTATGGAGGTGCCTAATACCCTTGTGCTATCGTTCCGTTTTCTGATCTGCCGTCTGCTGTTTTTGAGAGTAACGCTGGAGCGGTCGTGCTGGAGGATAACACTGCTCACCGGATGTCCGTTGGCCGGGTTGAGGACCCTCGGCTGGAAGGCGTGGCAAGATGTAATTCGGCCTAGGAGCGATGGTTCGAGACGAAGGATAGGAGTGCTATTCCCTTTTCATTTTTGTAAATAATTTAAGAGTTGCAAAGCGGTAAGAGAAAGGATATGCGATTGGGCCAAAGAATTCCATTCTGTACTACATGAAATGGACTGAAGCGAGGATAAACTTTCGACGAGTATCAAATGATCCTCTTCAAAATAGTCATACAAAGAATAGGCTAAAACAACTAGATCAAGCATAGTACACTGGTCCTAATCGTGTCCTCGGTCATTCACACCTGGGTCAGCACGCATTGATCGGTTCCTCCAAGCCGCTATCTTCATTAATCAATCAGCAAACGCCCTTGGGCCATTCATATCTCCATTTCAGCTGATGAAACAGAGGCAGCCGATTCCAACATAGAACACAAGTAGTGGGTAAACAGCCAGGACGACTCTATTCTTCACGACCCCTGATCCTCCTAGAATACTGACGCCAGCCGCAAGCGACCACGCTACTAGGACAATATATACCGGGATTCGGGGAATGATAGGTAAACCTAGTGCACTAAGTAGCGCCGCAATTACCAGCGGGAATATTGTGTATCCGATCAAGCAAACGGATTGGAAGAAGGAGCTATCGACAGGATGTTAGTAGGCGGGGTTAACCTGAGATCGAGGCGACAACGAGAACATACATATTTCCACCGAGCAACTTGATCTGCAGGGTGACGACTGCTTCTCCAATCCATATAATGCAGAACATACCCGAGAAAACCAAGCTCTTCTGCTCCTTGGACGCTGCCATAGAGAGAAACATGCTCAGCAATAAGCAGAAGATTAGAGGACCCCTAGAACCACAAGTCAGTCAGAAATCCATGGCTTGCGTCCGATCGTGTATCGGGAAAACAAACCATAGATCCCAATCTCTCAAGCCCTCGCTCATCCCACCCTGCAGCACAGCATCTGCATCGGGCCATCTCCCCACTAATCCACTAACCCCCGCCAGTCCGTTCCCAAAGCCCGTGGATTCCCCTCTTTCCGCGGTGCCGGCGATGCCCCCGCCTCCACGCTGCAACATGCCTCCGAGCAGATACTTTGGCCAAAGGACTTGCTTCATTTTCTCCCATACTGCCATAAAATCGCGTGATAACGTATCCCATACAGATTCATCGATAGTGTTCACGGGAGCTCGGCGGTCTTCGCCGGGAATGGACGAAGTGAGATATGAGCCGGTGATACCGCCACCGCCGCCAGATCTAGAAGACTCGCCTCCGTTGTTCGAAGAGGAGATATTTCCTGTTAAGGGCGTTCGATCGGTGGTGGAGGCGAGCGGGTCATCGGCTTCGATAGCTAGAAGCAGACATACTTAGTAGACTTCCCGTATTCGGCTTCAAATCGGGTCGTGCACGTACAGTCATCAGCGTCTATAAGATCGTTGTCAAATGTCGAGTCATCATCGCGCTCAATTACGAACGGGCTCCCCGTCCGGCTCCCAGACGTGACACTGGGCATCATCGCCATCTTCTGGTGTCCTTATTTACTTCCGTCACAACACCAAGGGCATGGGCAGAAAGCCCGCGAAATGGACAGGAAAGCCGGTGGAGGATCCAAGTATACTATTCTTCGGAGATTTCTCGCTTTAATTCAAAAGATGTGAAATTGCCATAATAGCTTCAAATTGGAAAGCAAACACCACTGGTGGCATTCAAGCTGCTGGCTTGGATTATAGCTGTGAACAGATGGTTGGATATTACGTAACCCCTCATCCCGGCGGTCCACTTCGGCGAGTGGTGGATCAATAGTCGGCCCGGTATGTATCCTAAAGGGTGAGGTCCACATGTAAATTCCAAGTGCCACAGCAACCTTTTACAGTGGGAGTCTACATGTGGAATGTGAAGCAAATTGAGTTGTATGTTGCAACCATCTGTGGATCCTTTGTAAATATGTCTGTAACAAGTAGTTATCAGTTCATTGTTGTGTTTTGCGAGATTTCTGAAATTTCAGCATCCGGACAGTATTGCTTAGCCATATAGATACTATGATAGTTATTGCTTGTGTCTATCAAGACACCGCAAGCTTGTTACAGAGTCATCTTGTGAAGAAAATGCAAGATGCTATCATTAATTATTACCAAATTTAGAGCATGAAGAATGCAGATGTTCAGAATACATTGATTCTATTAAAAAGCACGGGTGACTTAGTTCTGGTATCAAGGGAACAAATCAATCACTAATTTCAAAATATAGGGTGGAAAGAGATTTGTTTTTATTTTTTTTATTTTTTTATTTTTTTTTTTGGGTTGATGTATCATATATCTGTGTACGGAGCACGGAGTATAGAGTAACTAAGTAGATCTTAGCAAGCTGGCCAGCTTCGCCAGGCAGCAACACAGATATGCTTGTATCAATACAAAAAACAGGGGTATAGAGGAACGCGTTAAAAAATACAATATTGAATAGAAGTCCAGGAGGTGCAAGACCTATCCCAATGCCCAAAACCGCCAAAACCCGTACCACATATAGCTATGCTCAGATGTCCAGATCTTTACTCAGCCTCATAAGCCATTATAACTTCACTCTTTTCCTGGACGGAGTTGGCTCTAGCCATCCTTCCACAATCCCAACCGCAACCCCGCCGGAAACTCCATGCAAGAAATGAGAATAAAAAGAAACAAAAGAAGACTCGTCGCTATTAGCAGCCGTAAGGTCATCAGGTCTCAACAACGATCAAAATCTCCACAATTCTATCAACCAGATATTGCGCCTCTCCTTTCCACCTTTCATCACGCCACACATCCTTTACCCAGAAACGACATCGTGCTTTCCAGTCTTTAGGGTCAAATTTCCAATTCCATTCCCACGGTGCAAAGACACGGCCGGTGCGGGGGTCTGACTTTCTGCCCCTATTATCGTGAAGTTGGGCATTGACAATGCCAAAATGATGCGGGACAGGACCGGTTGTCAAGCCCTGTCGATATCTCCATTCACGCTCAGCCTTCTCCCCGGCCCGTTGAGCTACGGCCTCTTCATCTTCCGCCATGTAAAGATCACACTTGTTGCATTCAGTGCAACGAGAACCCGGATTAATACGAAAGTGCTCACAGAAGTGCTTATACCCCTCCCCTTCCTCTTCATCGTCCGGTAATTCTTCGTCGGACTGTTCATCCAGATCGACCGGACCATCAAATCCTGCATCCAGCAATGCAAGGTTTTCTTGATCCCGGAGTCGTCCAGGACGGAAGCCATTACCGCCCGGCTGTCTGAGCGGTGGACCAAGAGCCTTGCGGCAGAGATAACACATTGAGTATCCGCAAACGCAGGTGAGCTTATTGCACCCGGAGGATTTGACAAAAGATAAGCCACACCTCGGACATGTGCGCTTTATTGCGGCGGTGCGGGCGGCTTCAACGGTTGTTCTGAGATTAAGAAGAAGCGGCTCGTGGCATATATGCGGGTCCTGCCAGGGTTTGTGACAAGTAACACAACTGTCTCGTCCGCATGTTGGGTTTGAGCAAGTAAACCGCTGGTTGCGCGTTCTTAGACAAAGATTTCGAACGGATGCACTAAAAATTAGGGGTATTGTACTTGGATATAGAAGAAGAAACGCAGTAAGAAGGACAATAAGGAAGGGTATCATATCGAGAAGGACCATGATCATGCAAATAGTAGGTAGTACACTTGCGCGCCGGAAACGCCAGGTCAAGCCCGGGGGCGAAGGGTGGTAGACAGGATCATATTCAGCATACGAACAAAAAGGGCACCGGACAAGCTTCAGCTGTGATTTCAGGAGGGATTCTTCGGCAATGCGGCTTTCGAATTTCTGATACGTTTCGCAACCGGATTTGTCCGCAAGAATAGCTCGTTTCACAAGTTCTGTGTCCAGCAGTCCATTGCAAGCACCATTTTGCAATGGAGCCAAACATCGAAGCGTAGACTTCTCGGTATTAACTGAGTTTCCCCAGCCCTGTCCAAATAGTGCCTCATGTACGGTTCGCTGGATGCAGGTAAAGCATATCACATGAGAGCTCTCAGAGCACATCGAAATCTGTTCAAAGGCGATATCCGAAAGGCAGCAGCTGCATTCGTATAGAGCATCTGCGGCTTGTGCTTCGACTTCGTTGAGCTCATGTGCTAATCGGAGATCCTCGTCTTCTTGGCTTTCCTTTTTCCGGGCAAGTAGGGGTACGACGAAAGTTTCACGAAGCTCTCCATCCAACTCTGCTGAACCAGTTCCTTTCAAATGAGGACCAATATCACCATTTGGCTGCCGCTGCCAAACAAGTAGAGGTGGCTCGTCCTTCTCCTTGCTCTTCTTGAAAGAAAGAATATTGCCCAAAGTCACACGCCAAGTTTTGCGGGATAGATGCCTCAACGTTGGACGGGCACGCGTATAAGAGTAGTTGACTTCCGCCAGGACCGCATCAATAGCACTCCGACTTATAGAGCGAAACTCCTGGCACAATGCCGTCTTGACAGCTTTCTTGTAGTGGTCGCTCCTGAACATCTCTTCTTCCGGCACGGCCTTCGTCCAAGCGGAATCTTTCCCCCCTTTATCAGACACTCGTTTCGAAGTCTGTGTCGAATCAGTATCCGTGGCCGTCGGAACATTCCATCTTCCTTTCACCCATTCATTCCGATACCGTAGCAGCTGCTCCACGCAGACCTGTAGCCTGCTATCTCCGTCAAAGCGGACAAGTAATTCACGAAACACTTCGATCTTCACGTCGGGGAACAACTCCGCTAGGATCACAAGTGATCTATTAAGCTCCGCTCTCTCCTGCTCCTTCTCCTCTTCGTTGTTGAGAATCGTTGCGGGGCACTTGGACTTCCCGGCGGTTCCGAACGGATTGTTACGGAGGGCTTCGATAAGGGTAGCCGACGCCGGTGTCGCCATGGCGGAAGATGAAGATGAGGAAGATGCGGATGCTGTTGTGATCGGGACGGAGGATGGAGGGGCCAATGACGCTGTAGAGGCATTACCCGACGAAGGCGGCCCTTTCCCACTGGAGTGGGGTGATTTGGAGGCACGTAGAAATGGAAGAAAGAAAACCATCCTATCGTTTCTGCGTGGGGTGGATGAAGAAAATCAGTTCTTTCGCTACATGGTTGGATAGAAGTGTGGATGCGGAGAAAGCAGGGCGATGATGACGCTCAAATGAAGCTGTCCAACTTCATTTGGATTACCTGTCCGGCTCAGCTACCATGGTCGGAGTGCCCCAGGTGATTGTTCCTGACGAGAAAAATACACCCCAATTCAGCGCCAACAACGGGCCAGACAGCCATGGACTCTGTCTGTGGCTAGGTTTAGTGGGCGTTCATGATCGCCGTCCAACCTTGCGATCTACGAATACGAAAATCGATACAACATTCTCTTGGGGAATACTCTATACTCCTATGCAGAGTTACATACTACATATGTACAGTACATTCTACCCTATCGTATACCTATGTCCAGCAAGCCTTGCTCGCTCCACCCTTGCAGGGCCTTCTGAAAGGCAAGGAATGTATCTCGGAAGTGAAAGAATATCTTACGGTTAACAGATTAGATGCCGAATAAACAATCGGCTGACGCGTTGGATCTCGGCCTCAACAGGCCGAAATACGCAAGGCAAAGCTACGAGTTATCCCTGGTTGAAAGAGGTTATAACCGGCGGTTGCACATTACGGTGAAAGCCGACCATGGATGCCGCGTGCCGAGCTGCGTACTCGTATGTGTGAGCTTAGATCTGACTCGCCATCCACCCGATAATGAACTACGATTCGCAATTAACTAAATATCTTAGTTTGGTCAAATGCAGTGTGCATACGGAGTACATTTTAACTCATTAAAGAACAAATTGCCCCAAATTTGCAACTACCTAACCAACCTAATATGTACAGTACACCCGTGAACGAAAGAACGAATACGATCTTGATGCCAGAGACACCGATTCGTCAGCAGCCGTAGATGACGGCTAGACATCGAATGCCATTTATAAACTCAAACCATATGAGCCGATAAACCGCTTAGAGCTTTGAAGCCTTGTCGGAGACAAGCTCTACACCAGCACCAGCGATGGCAGGCTTACCAGTCTCGACCACAGTGGTCTGGAAAAGGACAAAGTTTCCTTCCTTCCACATCTCGGTTCTGAGAGTCTGGCCGGGAAGAACAACACCGGCGAATCGAACTTTGATGTTCTTGAAAGCACCGAACTTGCTGAAGACGTGCTTACCGGAGATGCCCATCGAGCAGAGACCGTGGAGAATGGGAATCTTGAAACCACCAACCTTACTGAATTCTGGATCAATGTGGAGCGGGTTGCGGTCGCCGTTGAGGCGGTAGAGGGCGGCCTGGTCCTCGGAGGTTTTCTCTTCAATCACAGCATCTGGCTTACGCTGCGGTGGCTTATACGCTGCGGTGGCGCCAGCAGGACGACGAGCAGTTGGCTTGCTAGGACCACCAAAGCCTCCACTTCCACGGATGAACATGGTAGACTCATTGTAGAAGAGATCTTCTCCTGTATTTGCATCTTTGGTGATGTAGCCGTTAACAACGATAGCAGCGTTACCCTTATCGACGACATCGATGAGTTTTGGATAAGAGATGGTCTTGGCGGCAGTTGGGATGGGGAACTTCTTGATCTCCAAATACTGCTCGCCGTGAAGAAGCATCATGGGCGAGAAGTTGGCGACGATTTCACCCATATTCCACGGGATATCAGTATTGAACCAAGGAACAACGCCAAAGGTGGGCAGAGGCTGGAAGTTGTCGTCATTCTCATAAACGAGAGGAAGTTGAGTTCGCTTAGCCCCGAGGCTGACGTTGTAGAGAATCACGTCGCGATCAGTGTAGTCGAAGGAAGTTCCCTCCGCCTTCATTCCCTTGGCAGCTGTAATTGCGTCCAGGATCTGCTGGTTTTCGTCACTGCCCTTCGCGGCTGAGCCGCCACTCCTGTTGCTCATGTTCTCCATGATACTCTTGAATCCTGCCTGGCCATCTTCTGGGTGGTCTGCGCGGCCGTCATCAAAGTTGGTGATCTTGCTCCACATAGCAGCAACTGCTTCTGGAGTCAACTCAACATCGATAGGGAAACCGTGACCACCAGATCGCTGCCATCTGGTTCGACCGAACCAACCGCTGCCGCATTCGTACAAGCCCTTCGTAGCTGGCTGGGGCACCATATCAGAGCAGAGAAGGGCGACGATTGGCGCAACTTGGTCTGGTTTGAACGCTTGGACAACCTCTTCAGGCATAACAGTCCGCGTCATCTGAGTACCAGCGTTTGGCGCAATTGTATTGACGAGGATGTTGTATTTGGCACCCTCAAGTGCCAAAGCTCGGGAGAAACCGAGAATGCCCAATTTCTGTGCCCATTAGTAATTTATCTCATTGAGTGGACTCTGGGTTGAACTTACGGCAGCAGCGTAGTTGGCTTGGCCAAAGTTGCCATAGATTCCGCTGGTGCTGGTGGTATTGACAATTCGTCCATATTTCTGTTTCAACATGTAGGGCCAAGCTGCCTTAGTAACGCTGTAGGTGCCACGGAGATGGACATTAATGATGGGATTCCACAAGCTATCATCCATGTTGGTAAAAGCTTTGTCACGGAGAATACCAGCATTGTTGACGAGAATGTCAATACGGCCAAAGGCATCAATTGCTGGTTTTACGACAGCCGCGCCGTCCTCAACTGATGCTTTGGAGCCGACGGCTTTGCCTCCCATTTGCTTGATCTCCTGAACAACTGGTTCTGGGTCAACCAAATCGTTAACGACAACCGCGGCACCTAATTTGGCAAAGAGAAGGGCATAGGCTCGGCCGAGTCTACAATTACAGTTAGATTTAGCCAGAGAGAGGTCAAGTCCTTATAAACTTACCCGTTTCCGGCGCCTGTGATCAAGGCAACCTTGCCAGTGAAGTCAGGTTGCTTAGCAGCGGGGCTGCTGGGGAGTTTCATTCCTTCTTCAAGCAAATCCATGAAATCGTTGGGGCCAGTTGGGTAGCTCGGTTCAGAGAAGTTGTTGACTTGGTCCCATTTTGCCAAAAGGGCACCAGGGGTAAGAGAATCATCTGTCTTCAACAAGGCGCCCTTGGCACGCTCCCAACGCAATTTGGCCACATGGCCGGCTCCAGCCTCGAAGATGGATCCGGTCTCCTTGCAAGAAGAGTGGACAAGGAAGGCGACCAAGGGAACAACCCACTCGGGCTTGAGGTTTTCCAAAACCTCCGGTGGCATGACAGTTTCAGTCATACGGCTCGCAGCTAAGTAATTGATTAATATTTATGCCTAGATAGGGCGGGGTGGGAGCTACTTCAACGTACCAATTGGGGCAATGACGTTGGCATGGATGTTATATTTGATACCCTCCTTTGCCAGAGTCTCGGTGAAGCCAACCAAGGCCAATTTGGCCGCTAATCTCGTTAGTAGAGTGTCCCAACTGAGAAACATCAGCATACATACCTGAATAGTTTGTCTGACCGAAGTTACCAAACAAACCTGCAGCAGAAGCGGTATTAATGACTCTGCCAAATTTTTGTTTTCTGAAGTAGGGCCATGCGGCTCTTGAGCACTACGGATAGAGTTAAAAATCGGTTTCAGCCCCTGAAAATGGGAGGTTTCTTCATGCACTCTAACACTTACCTTATATGAACCATAAGTATGGACCTGGTTGATCAGATCCCAATCCTGGTCTTTCATGTTCTTAAAGCTAACATCTCGGAGGATTCCGGCGTTGTTAATAAGAATGTCGATACGGCCAAAGTTCTTGATGGCAGTTTCGATGATCTTCTCTCCGAATTCGACGCTGTCGTAGTTAGCAACAGCCTTTCCGCCCTTGGATCTGATTTCGTCGACAACAACATCCGCAGCCTATGATTAACGACGTTAGAATGCATTGGTCATGATGAACGTGAGACGGTGGTTACGGATTGCCCTCACGGGCGTGCCGATGGGAGGCTAACCTTGGACGAGTGGCCCTCGCCGGTATGTGAGCCACCCAAATCATTGACCACGACGTTGGCACCTCGTGAGCCGAAGAAGACGGCATAGGCCTTTCCAAGACCACCACCAGCACCTGTGACAACCACAGTCTGTCCGTCGAAGCGAAGTTGCGACATGTTGGAGTTTCTGTGAAGTTATAAAGGAGGGGAACTACAATACAAGAACCATGCAAAGATTAATAAAATGAGTGCACGGAAACTGAAGCTGCAAGTGCTAAGAGGGATGATGAAATGGAATCAAGAATAGGTAGGGGGAGAGGGTTGAAGAAAGAGAAGAAGAAGTAGTTGAAAGAAGATGATGGAAAAAGGAAGTTCGGATACTGCGTAGATGTGCGGGAAAAAACGAGGTTCGCAGTTGAAGTGCAGCACCAACAGTGCAGCTTCGTAAGTTGGACCTCGGCTGATCTGGCAACTGACAGCTACGGCGCAGGGACCATGGCTTCAGCCATCCGAAGAGCGGCAGCCGAAGTACCTCAAAGTCGCGGGAGATTGCCACGAGTGCGCCGGAAAAATGACCAATCAAAATTCCTACTGCTTAAAATCGTGGGGACCAATTTCTCTATTTCTATTGGTTAATACTTGTTTTTCTCGCAAAGGAACGCATATAATTCGTTCCTCGCCGCATTTCACATGTGCGGAGGTTGCGGAGTAGAGAGCGACTATTGGCCCACAACAACCTCGAGTCCCGCGCGACCTCAGAGACGGGCGGACGCCGAACATGGGACTTGGGTGCTCTGGGTCCCCCAAAACACAATGCACCCCCAGTGAACGGAATCTAGCGGTGAATTTGACTACTCCTGAGGATAGTTCATAACCCTACAGGGTATTCTCCCTTTCAAAGCTATACAACAGCAGTACTATGGATTCTTTACGGAGTACTCCATGCTGTGCTCCTGCAAAGTTTCCCCCACCACCTGATGACCGGGAATTCGGAGTTGAAAGAGCTCCAAATCTGCTATTTTCTGGCTCACGATTACGTCATCTTGCACCACATGCTTCAGATCGAGGGTGTGTTTTGTTAGGTAATCCAACTAGCACCTCGCTCACGTGACCCACATAGATTAGCCGAGATTCCCCTTTAGGTAGCTTAGTGAATGACAAGCATACAAGTCCTCCATCAGGTTATAGCCCTTTGCGCTGAAGAGCAA